AAATAGGCTTTTTAATTTAATAAGATAAAAAGTCACATTTAACACATAATTATTTTATTTTTTCTTTCATAAAAATCAAAAAAATTAAAAAATCTATCGTAAACAATATTTTTTAATTCCAAACTAAAATAATAAAAAAATAAAAAATCAATCTACATTCCACACCAACCTACACCTCCGTTTGGGAAGTGGGTTGACTTTTTGGCTTTTTTGGCTATTTTAGCGTGGGCTTAAAAACTTGGTTTGGGAAGGGTTTTTTGACTTTTTAGCTTTTTTGAGTTTTTTTGTGAGAGAAGAATGTAATGATTATGGATTGGATGTGATGTTTTGTTTGTTATGCTTAAAATAACTTATTTTATTTTTTGTGACTAAAATAACCAAAAAAACCTGTAAACCCACTTGCCAAACACAGACTACGTAACTTTTGACACTCCCCAAAGTAGCCTCAATCTTTGTGCCTTTGTGTTGCGCTGTTTACATTACAGGTCCCGTTGGACAAGTGATTTTTTTACTCTTTTTTTTTTTAATGAAATTTATAAAAGATAAAATAGATTAAAATAATTAATAAAATAAAATATCACATTAAATTTATAATTATTATTTTATTTTTTTCTTATAAATATCATATTTAATTATAAAAAAATTTAATTTTCTTTTCAAATATAGAAATTTAAACATATTAAAATGATAAAAAATTAGAATAATTTATTAAAATAATCAACTTGTAAACAAGAGCACAATATTGTAACTTTTTATTACAGTAGAGGCTGGGGTTTGTTTGGACGCCACCGACAGTGACAATATCATGAAAACCTTCCCCCACTAGCCTACCTGAATGGTCAGGGACTCTGTCAGATTTATAGACACATATATGAAGAGAGAGAAACAAAAGAAAATAAGAGAGAGAGAGAGAGAGAGGGAGAGAGAGAGAGAGACCTTTGGGGGCATGGGGAAGCAGGCATGTGGATGGGTGGGGGACACACCAAATGACCAAACTCATCAATACAACTCTGAATAATTGAGTGAATGAATGACACAAAACACAAAAGCACATACAAAAACAAAAACACCCCCTCTCCCCTAACACTCAAATCTCAGTAAAGTACTCCATTGCTAAACACCATGGAGACTCTCAACAACACAACTTAGTAAGCAAAGCCATAGCCAGAGTGCTCTGTTCTCTCTCTGTTTCTTCTTTGTTCTCAGTTCTTGATGATGCCTAGACCTGGCCCAAGACCCTATGAGTGCGTTCGAAGAGCTTGGCACAGTGACAGACACCAACCCATCAGAGGCTCTCTCATCAAAGAAATTTTCAGGTACTCTCTCATCTCCATCTTCCTATCACACACACAAACACATACACACATATAAACATTCGTTTGTGTGTTTAATGAGTCTACTATGTGTTTGATTAGAGTTGTGAATGAGATTCACGGCTCAGCAACCAAGAAAAACAAAGAATGGCAAGAGAAGCTCCCTATTGTGGTCTTGAAAGCTGAGGAAATCATGTACTCCAAAGCCAATTCTGAGGTTTGTTCTTCACTTTGGTACTCCAAACTTCATTTTTCCTAATACTACTACCATTGATGTCAACTGGGTTTTTGTTGTTTTTGTGATTAATTGATTACTTAGGCTGAGTACATGGATCTTAAGACTCTCTGGGACAGAGCAAATGATGCTATTAACACCATCATTCGACGAGATGAGAGTACCGAAACCGGGGAGTTTCTGCAGCCGTGTATTGAAGGTATATATATCCCTTCAATTTTCTCTGTTCTTTGCCAAGTTTCAATCTTTGAATAGAAATGAGTTTTATTGAAATTGGGTTGTGGTCATTTTGTCAAGATACATGTTTAGAGATGTCTGTTTGATGTTTTCTATTTTCATTTTGGAAGGCACATACAATTTATTTATCGAAATGTTTTTGGAAAAATTTTCTGAAAACAATGTACTTTTTAGGACACCAAAAAGTTGTTTTTGAAGTTTTGAAAACCATTTTCACATAAAAATGAAAATTATTTTCGGAAAACACAAATTTGCTTGGCGAACTGTTTTTGGGAATTCCCCCCCTTGAAAATAGGTACTTTTAGGAAATACATAAAGTGTTTTCGAAATTTTGAAAACTATTTTTGCACCAATATCAAAATGATATGAAAACAGTTGTGGTGTTTCCTATCGTTTCATTTTTTGTTTCCAAAAACATGGACAATGAAAATGAAAAATATGAAAACACAACCAAACTAGCAATTCTCCAAAGCTTCAAGTAATTGCTTTAATTTCAAGCCCAAACTGAATGATTTGAAATCTAAAGCGTCATAGTGTATTTCATGTCTTGCAATTTGGTTTAGCTGCTCTCTATTTGGGCTGCATTCCAGAAGAGCGTCGAGGAGCCAACGAAACAGCAATCCGAGATGCTACCTTAGTGTCAGCACTCCAGACCAGACCTGTGTTTCTCCGAGCAATTTAGAGAACATATATCATGCAAATCACATAACCAATCCTCCATTCATGTCTCATAATTCAAACTTCACAAAACCCAATACCATGAATTTCACCGTTCTAGACTCGGAGTCTCACAAGCTCCCCTTTTTGTCTGAGAATTTTCCTCCATGTAGTAACACCCGATGCTTACCTACAGAAGCTTATGCATCTTCAAACTCATGTTCAGTTTATCCCTTGTACTATGGAAATCCACTTCAATCTCAAGAATCTCAAGAGTCCCAGTTTTGTTTTCACATCCCTCCCAATTTGAACTCTGACAATCCAAAGACATTGAAGATTGGTCACTTGCAAAACCTTTTCCCTTGTGATGTAGATGCTTCAAACCAAATTCCTCAAGCAGATTTGAGGGACACACCTGAGAACCTACCTGGAATTGGGTGTGATTTGTCATTGCGGTTAGGCCCTCTTTCAGTTCCGTGCATAAGTATTGAGAATAGTTGGCCCCAAGAGGTTGAAGATGTTGAAAGAAGCAAGTTGAATGATGACTTAAAACCGTGGATGGATAAAGAGTTCTCTTTCTTCCCTAAGTCCAATGTTGATGATGACCCGCTAGACTCCTATTCGAGTAAATGGAGTTCTGAGGCTGAAGACATGAATGTAGAGATGACAATGAGAAAGCGAAAGGCAGTTTTTAGTTACCCATCTGAGGATGGGCAATTTTGTTGGCAACCGAAGCTTCCAAGTAATCACCTCACCGGAAAAATGAGCAATGCAGGTTTGTAGACTAACTTCTACTTCATTGGTTCTCTTTAAAATTTTTGAAGTGGTGCAGCAGATGTGTATTGTTTCTATCTTTCCTTGCAATCTGGCTGTACTCAACGGTTATGGTTACTTAATGATGAGTTGCTTGTTTCGGTGTTGCATTAAAGTTTGTGTAAATATAGGCTAGTTTTATATCTTAAAACGATGCTGTTATAGAACAAATATTAAGCACAAAATGAGTTTTGGAAATTTGTGTGGGCTTTTGAGCTTTTACTTTTTTATTATCAATTTTCAAGTTATAAAAAGTTGCACCAAATAGACCTTGTACAAGCTTGGTTCTCTTTGGATTCCTCCACATGTAAAATAGTCATACAATTCATCTTAGTTTAACTTTATTTCCAAAACTAAACTTTCTGTTCCAAGATGTGCTCGGAATATTTGGAAAGTACAGATTATAAGTGGAAGGAAGGAAGACCGAAGACTAGTCCACACTATGTTGAGTCAATAGGGTTTGGGTTGGTTTCTTGGGCCCACTCTGATCGCTCTAATTAAGAAGTGGGGTAGAAATGATAAATGGAATTCTGGATAGGGTTGGTTGTATGTGAGTGGGAAGCAAAGAGGTGTCATTTTACCACATGAACATGTTACATCTTCTGAGCCATAATGCCTAGGGGTCCATCCATGGACCCCATTACAGGTTGAGGTAAGAAGTGGAAGGAAATTATTGACTTGGCACATCTTGTGCAGGCTCCACAAATATATATCCATCACCAACCATCTCTGTTTTTGATTTGAATAAAACTTGATCTTTGTTGATTATTAGTGGAAATAATTATTAATATTATTTGTTGTTATTATTATTACATGGAATTTGATAGGTGATATGATTTGTGGATGGGCTTAATGGGGTTTGCACTAAAAAAATAAAAAACTAGTAATCAATGCTTCCCCTTAAGCAGGCAAGATTTGAAAATCTGGGGCATACTCAAGAATGATAACAAAATAAATAAATCAAAGGTATGTTAGGCAGAGATTCTGGGCCCTGAGAAGCTATTGGGAAGATAGGTTATATAGAACTAGAAATTGATAATCAAATGACCTTAGAGTCCTTGGGATTTCATTTGATCTGTGTTCGTAGATAAATAGTTGATGGCATATTTTATGTTTTTGTTTTTTTGTTCGGTTCTTCTGAGTTTTGATTCTTCAACCAGAAAGGTAAGAACACCTCCTGCTCAATGCTGTAATTAAAGCGAACTGTTTGTGATCTAGGAAAAATGTTCTTCATGATGTTATGGGAAAGAGGAAAAATCTGTAGCCGAGGATGGATGACAAAGTTTCTATTTGCAGCAAGGGAAGAGATCTCGCGAACTTGATTTATTCCTATTTATTCCTATTCCTTGTGTTGACTTACCTTCTTAATTCTGTGACTACCTCTACAGTACATGGCAGCATTAGTCCTAAAGTTGCCCATTCTCTCTATAACTTCTAACGTTTGCATGTTGCCCACTTCCCAAAAAGTTGCAAAGTGATTCCCCGACTTTAGGCTGAATCTTCTGACAGTCGTTACGAGTGTCTCTATTCGTTATGAGCCATATGGTTTAGTGCTCTATGAGTGTCAATCATACGGATGTTTCCCATGCGGCGTCATGGTCACTCGGGGTTGGGCCTAGTGTACAAGTGTCATACGCTCATAAATTCACCTTCCCACAAGTGGGAAGCTCGGACTCCTTGCTCCGCAAATGTAGTTGTTCCTCTTAAAGTGCACAAAAAGCTGTACATCTTGAAACTTTAGTCTCTTGTTAAAAGAAAAATTTATAATTCAAGATGAATGAAAATCTTGTAAATCTATCCGACCATGATTTCTTCCCTTGACAAGAATACAATGCAAGTAGTTTTTCGGTTTAGTTTTCAATCTTGGAACAGATATTATCTTACAGTGAGTTCCTAGAAGGTGACTCTCTGCATTAGTTTGCATTTGCTTTAAAAAGACGCAATGCAAAATCTAACTTCCTTCAATGACCCCTAAAAGTTTAACGTAGAATACATGAATAATCTATGTTAATTATCTATCTGTACTCTCATTTGAGAAGAGAGAAGAAGTTGAATTGGTAGATGAAGCCGATGAAGACGATGATAATGATAATGAAGCGGTGAAGTTGAATTCTATCTGTAGTCGTTGGTGGAGAGCGAAGTAAGAAACCGGTTCCTTCTTCTCTTCTGATTCAAGTTCCCTAAGTGGTATAGCAGCTAGAAATCTCTTCATGAACTCTCTGCAACACTCTTTGCCACTGCAAATTTCCTCCTCACTTGCCTGATTGGAACTGACCCCTTGTTTTTCTACCTTCCCGCGCATCAAAGCCGAGTCATCAAACCTCAAAATGTATGCTTGGTTGCAACCCTCAAAGAGCCGCTCACCCAATGTGTCGATGATGTAGTAAGCGTTGATGTCGACCTTCAACACAAAGAAATGATCATTCCAACTTACTATGTAAATCCTAGGCATGCCATTGTCACCCTCGGCGTTCTTCTTGATCTCATCCCATATCTGATCAAAAGACATAAATTCTTTCAATGCCTCGAACTTTTCCGGGCCAAAGAATCCAATGAAGGACTTGTTATGCAAGACCGATATTGGGCAGAGTCCGGCTTGCAGGACAGTCTCGATGTCAAAATGCTTGTTAGGGAATTGGTTTATCAAGTTTTGATTGTCACAGAGCTTTCTCCATTCAGAGGAGCCTTCGAGTATGAGCCTGTCGAATTGGGCCCTAGTTGGCGTGTTGTCTTGGTTGGATTGAAGCCAATTGGCAATGACTGCAACCAGTGTTGTACATGCGCTTTCTCCGATAGCTTTGTCACTGCATTGGTCGAAGGAAGCGAAGAAGACATTGGCTTTGAGCTTTGCTTGGCCATCTCTGCTGACTAGCTCCTTTTCTTCCCAATGACCAATGGTGCTAGTTTCCGTTTGCTCACAAGCTGGTTCATTGACATCTAATTTCTGCAAAAAAATTAGTTATGAAGAAAGGTTAGATTACAATATTCAACCTCACAAGTAGTAGCAGAATATGTATCGATATTGACAGTACAGTTATATATTGGTTGATATTGGAAATATTAGTAAGTAGTGTTTTGGAAAGTTGCTAAAAAGTTGACTTTTTGATTTTTTGAGTTTATTTTATCTTTTTGTAGGTAAAAAATGTAAGAGATGATGTGACCAAAAATGGATAAAAAGTTAAAAGCTGGTTTTTTATTGGCTTCCCAAAAGACCTACAAATATTAATATTAAAGGTTTAAAATCCCGATACATATCCGTCCGTATGTTATGTAAGGGGCAATATTTAAAATCTTGCAAAAGACCCCCCTAACCCATGTTGGAATCGTAGCCCAAATACAAGCTTAAGAACTTTAGGGTGTTGTGTTTGGAACTGGATTTGTCTAGGAGAAAGAAAAATTTACTCAGAAATGGAATTACTTATGCATATTTATTTATTATGTGTAATTAAACAAAAAATAGATTTATTGATAAATATTTATTCATTTTCTTAACCCAAGCAATAATCAACTTTTATATTACTAAAATATATGCTTGCTTAAAATATTTTGTTTTTTGTTTTTTTAAATGATGATATATTTCTAGTTTTTATTTTAAGTGATAAATATTTTGGGTTAATAATTAGAGTTTACATTTGTAATTTTTTTATTTTTTTATGAATGATAACATAATTAATTCAACCTTATTAATTACAATGCTGTTAAACAGAAACACACCCAATTTATAATTAATTTTAAAAAAAATGATTTCCAATTTATAGAAATTTTAATGTACTAAATTGAATAGACCGCTGATGATTAGCAAATTTAATAACACACGTACTGGTCTAGAATTGGAGTCAAATGAGGAAGAGACGCTATGTTGTCGATCACCACCAATTGTATTCTCATCACCACCATCATCTCGACCAGTCTTCTTAATCAACGGCTCTCCTTTCGTCTTCCCAGGTGTGAAGCTCAACCTCTTCCTCTTCCATGAAAATAACCCAGCTTTCTTGACCGTGTCCAATTGACTGTTTGAACGCATACCCAATTCAGACTCGGTCGTTGAACTCACTTCAACACGGCGAGTCACCGAAATCAACTCGTTCTCCGACGTACTATTTGACTCGAACACTGCTGACTCATCCGAGTCATCTGAACTTATTTCTGCCTGGCTCGTTGACACGGTTGCCAACGAGTCTTGCGAATTTCTAACCTCCACAATGCTCAAGCACACCTGCGTATATTACATACAAATCAATTATATTAATACTTATTTTCTTATTAATTTTTTTATTATAAATTAATTGATATGATATTTTAAAGTGAATTTTTTTTTAAAAAATAATTATATATCATTTTTTTTTTAATGGCTACGAGCATGGCAATGAATTGGTCAGCTGAATGAAAGCTGTTCTCTTTGGATTAACAGCTAACAAACAACGCCTTCATTTTCACAAACCATAAATGTAGTCCCCACCCGCAAACTTGGCGAGTTAAAACACGCTCCAACTTTCCCAGAAAAACCACACATTTCCTTATGGATTTTCCCGGAAAAAGCCAAACCTCAAACTCTCCTTCTTCTTTTCACATTTTCCACCGTGTATAGGTTGAGAATGAGTCCGATTTTTAAATATTAGCGTTCACAAATATATTATTAGATATTGATCGATATTTATTTATGTATTCGAATACCGTTATTTATAAAATAAGCTTACCGAAAGGGTGGCTTCTCGGGCAACTCCGGCGACATTAATTTGGATGGGATGCTTAGTTTCAATCATGGAGTCCATCTTCGAAGCCAATTCTGCTAAATTTAGGGACACCTTCCCAATCACAGCCAATTTAGCCTTACTCTCCTCCGTCTTGCCTCCTCCCTATATTACATCCAAAATGAAAATCAAAATCAATTGTGTGCTTTGAAAAAACAAAATTTTAAATTTTGGATATTCACTAATCAATCATGAAAGAAAATACTTACATATAAAATAGTAAACGATGCATCGTAGACACCAAATGAGTTGTCCTTGAATATAATCGGAAAGCTGCAAATATTCTCGAACTCATCGTTCCATTTGACGGATTCACCTTTCTTGACGACCGCCTCGTTAGAGATGTGTTTGCGACGCTTCGATGACGAACGTCGATGGAACGAGACCAAACCAGTCTTGGGACCTCCTTTCCATCTCATCTCAATCACCATTGCTTTCTCTCTCTCATCACCGCCGTCGTCATGGGAAAATCCTTCCAGCTTCATTTCATTCACCCTCACCTGTATCTTCTTCGCCGCCGGAGCTGGTGGCCACGGCGACCACTTCATCATGATCACCACCATTTTTGAATTTTTAGAATTTGGATTGTAAATGGAAGGGAATATACATCCACATGTATTATATATACGAACAATATGAGAGACAGGCTGGAGGGCGTGTTTGTTTGGTGTGAAATGACTAACAAGGACAGGGTCCTCTCGCCGAGTAATTTGTGAAAGAATTGCCACGTCATTAACGATTTTTTCGGAACTCTGGGAATCACGCGGGGACGGAAATGATGACGTGGCGTGCGAAGATTGGATTTGTCATTGGGTGGAGAAGTTGGTGTGTATGTATTGGATTGGATGTGTAGTCTCATTTCATGTTTTTCCGAATGTACTCTTAATGTTAATTTTTATTTAAAAAAACTTTAGAATGTCACCTGGGGACAAAATGATGACGTGTTGTGCGAAGATTGGATTTGTCATTGGGTGGAGAAGTAGGTGTGTATGGCCTGAGGTTAAAAGTTATTTTTTTAATTTTTAGGTCAAGTTTGGAAATTTATAAAAAAGTTAAAAAGTTAAAAAATTATTCAAAAAGTTAAAAAGTTAATATTATTCATCAAAAATCAACAATTACGGCTGCACAACTCCCAATCCGAATTTTTCCTTACAAATTAATTTTTATAATTTTTTATTACACATTTTTTCATAAAAAGTTAGAAAGTTAATCCAAATATCCATATTTTCAATTTTAATTTTTTAGTCTAAAAAGACAAAAAGTGCACTTATTTAGGATACTCCAAACAACCCCTTAAATTTTTTTTAGTTATATTATTATTTTTTATTTTTTTATATATTTTTTAAAAAAATTAAAAAGTTAATTTTTTTTTAATCTATTTTCTTGAAAAAGTTAAAATCAACTTTTAAGGCTGGTTTGGCATAGACCATATAATTCATCTTTTTATTTTTTTTCCATCACATCACCTCTCTACTTTTCTGCACATCTTTTCGTAAAAAGACAAAAAGTATACTTTTTTAGGACATTCCAAACTAAGGCCAAGTTTGGCGTCTTTAATAAAAGTCAAAAAGTCGAAAAGTCATTATCCTATTTAAATCACATCATCTTATTTAAGTCACATTACCTCTCTAACACATCAATTCAAACATAATCCATATTTCATAAAAAATCAAAAAGTGCACTTATTTAGAACATCCCAAACAACCCTTAGCCCTTAATTTATGTATTGGATTGAATGTGTAGTTTCATATTTTTGTGAATGTATTTTAAAGTTAAATTTTATTTTAGATTAGACTTAAAATATCATATTAATTGTTACATAATATAAAAATTATATTCTTATAGTATTAGGGTTTGAATTTATGGAAGGTGTAGTTTTTAAGTCTCTTATTTTGAGGGGCAAGTACAGTTATAGTTATGTTACGAAACATGTCATCTCTTTAGGTTAGTTGTACAGGGAGAAAATAATTCTCCTCGTATAATCCTGTTGACCAAGTCCACGCTCCTCCGTACGATGTCGCTTTACCACCTGAAAACACAAACGTGAGCTAGCCGGCGGGTGTGTGCCGGAAACCTCTCCGATGCTTAAGTCAGTAAGCTTGACAAATAGACAAAGTTTTATGTTCTCAGAAAGAATTGTGTTCAATTATCTCCTCCAAGGTGGTGCTTGTGAGCTTTTATAGGTTTCGAGTGGCATAATCCTAGTAGGACTTTTATTTCTCCATGCAGAGTCCTCCTAGGATTCATACTCCTAAGGATAATGCTTATCCTTTTACACCCTCCCCCACTGCTTAAACCAAGTGGGATGGTTTTCACTTTGGCCGAACTACTATATGACCGAAATAAGCTTGGCCATGCAGAGCCACAGAGAAGGCCGAACTGTCCTTAGCTCGGTCTTCTCCTCCAACTCTTTATCTCGACTTTCCCTTCAAATTGCCACCGGACCGGAGTTGCTTTACACATTCTTGAACCGGAGTAACCACACCTCTCCTGGGCCGGAATAACTACACTTCTCCTGGACCGGAGTATCTATGCCTCTACTGGGCCGAAATAACATTACGGCTTCTTACCGATTCCTTCACACTTTGGGCCGCAGGGCCCAACTCACAGCTCGGCCCAATTCTTTCCAAAAAATTACCCTCTCATTAGTCATTAATTATTTTGAATATAACGTATTCTAAAGAGGGTCAAAAAGGAGAAATATTTTTCCACTAATATTATTATTAGCTTTATGTTTAATGGGTCAAGGAGGAGAAACTTTTTTTTCACTAAAATATTATTATTAGGTTTATATTTAATCAATTTTGGATCACTTGAAGGTTTCGCATAACTAATTCAGATATATTATTTATTTTTTTACATTATACTATTATTTATAAAAATCATGATAGTTCATGATTTTAAATTATGAAAATTATTATATTCATAATATTATAAAATTATTTACATAATGATTAAAGGTTGGTATATGTATCATCAACAAAAGCTTCGTAACAATGAGCCATGTGCTTGCTGGGTTGATGGCATTTCCAGGTGAAATGACCATAATCATTAATCACCAAAATTTATTAGACATCATTGTTTATTGGGACTGCCCTCTGCAAACTCTCCCCACAAACAAGGTGTTACAGACAACACAATTTTTTTTTTTAAATTTTAATAATGATATATAAATAAAAAATTTATATAAACTCCATATAACCTTTTCACTTTATAATAAAAGACTCATTTAGATAATATTTTTTTTATTTAAAAATATCATTATTATATTATTCTTTTTATTCTGTGTAAACACTATAATAATTTAAAATTTTCTTTTAATTGTGCACCACCCTCTATCTTATTTAAAAAGTGTATGGCTTATCTATCATAACTTTCCAACAATGATGTTGTAGTGATTTTAAAATAATAATAAAAAAAAATACATAATCCAATAATTTGAATCAAAACTGAAGTCTACATTAACATTACATTTCTTAAAATAATGTAATTCAAAAATCAACAATGTTATAATGACTATATTAATTTATACCATGTGATATCTTTTTATATTGAACAGAGATGTTAACTGTGAAACTTATCGAGTTGTGAGAAATCCGAAACCGAAATCTAAAACTAGTTCAGTGTGCCTTATTGCGTGTGCTCACGTCATGTGCGAAACAACCCTTACGATGTAACCCACGATCCATTTTGCGTGTGTCACAAACGTATTAAATTAAAAAAAAGGTATTAGTCCGTTTTTTCGATCAACGTGACACAAACACTCATTCACCTTTCCCCATACAAATCCACACAAACTGTCAACCAATAATATTAGCAGTGACAAAACAGTCAATACAATAATTAAAGACAAAACAATCAATACAAAAATTAAGGGACCACTCAAGAAACTTTTTTTTCACTAAAATATTATTATTAGGTTTATATTTAATCAATTTTGGATCACTTGAAGGTTTCGCATAACTAATTCAGATATATTATTTATTTTTTTACATTATACTATTATTTATAAAAATCATGATAGTTCATGATTTTAAATTATAAAAATTATTATATTCATAATATTATAAAATTATTTACATAATGATTAAAGGTTGGTATATGTATCATCAGCAAAAGCTTCGTAACAATGAGCCATGTGCTTGCTGGGTTGATGACATTTCCAGGTGAAATGACCATAATCATTAATCACCAAAATTTATTAGACATCATTGTTTATTGGGACTGCCCTCTGCAAACTCTCCCCACAAACAAGGTGTTACAGACAACACAATTTTTTTTTTTAAATTTTAATAATGATATATAAATAAAAAATTTATATAAACTCCATATAACCTTTTCACTTTATAATAAAAGACTCATTTAGATAATATTTTTTTTATTTAAAAATATCATTATTATATTATTCTTTTTATTCTGTGTAAACACTATAATAATTTAAAATTTTCTTTTAATTGTGCACCACCCTCTATCTTATTTAAAAAGTGTATGGCTTATCTATCATAACTTTCCAACAATGATGTTGTAGTTATTTTAAAATAATAATAAAAAAATACATAATCCAATAATTTGAATCAAAACTGAAGTATACATTAAATTTACATTTCTTAAAATAATGTAATTCAAAAATCAACAATGTTACAATGACTATATTAATTTATACCATGTGATATCTTTTTATATTGAACAGAGATGTTAACTGTGAAACTTATCGAGTTGTGAGAAATCCGAAACCAAAATTTAAAACTAGTTCAGTGTGCCTTATTGTGCGTGTTCACGTCACGTGCGAAACAACCCTTACGATGTAACCCACGATCCATTCTGCGTGTGTCACAAACGTATTAAATTAAAAAAAGTTATTAGTCCGTTTTTTCAATCAACGTGACACACAAACACTCATTCACCTTCCCCCATACAAATTCACACCAACTGTCAACCAATAATATTAGCAGTGACAAAACAGTCAATACAATAATTAAAGACAAAACAATCAATACAAAAATTAAGGGACCACTCAATCACAAAAAAAAAATTTAAAATCTTATGAATGATAAGTCTATAAAATGATATTTACCGGTAAATTCCTCTTTATTTTTTACCATTTACAAGTTTTGTTTTATTTATTCAATTAACATGAGTGAAAAAAACCAGATAAAGCATGTGACATTTTCTTATCAATTTAGCACGTGGCACCATGTAGACCCGTATTCCACAAATTCGAAGCTCACCTGGGTTGTACGTTTAGCACCTCTCACGCAATACCATTCGTCTAAAGCTTGTACATTGTCCTTGCTTATCTTACGCTTATACCACGTTCATTGTCCTCACTTATCTTATGCTTATACCACGTGTGTCAATTCGGCCATCCCGCATTCGTGTCACCGCATCATTCGTCCAATGACATTCCCAATCAAACTATAGGTAATTTACACTTTGCCCCTTGTTTGATTTATGAACTTGTGAAGAAATTTAAAAAGAAAAAGGTGAAGGAGAAAAAATAGTATGAAGTGTAAGTTAAATATAATTGTATTTTATGTATATATATATATATATATTTCTTTTTAAATCTCTATCTAAATTTTTGAAACAAATCAAAGAAT